CAACAAAAGGCACTCAGAGAGTGGGCCAGTGTGGGCAGGTGGAAGCCAAGCAACATCAGGGTGAAGCTGGTGTTTCCCGGCCGAGAGACTGTTGCCACAAGAAGCAGAGGAGGCCCACTGGGGGTGAAGAAGGGTGGGGGTTGGGAAAGCGTATATCACTGGTTACTTTCTGTCTCCTGCTGCAAACTCCGTGAAGCTGCTTTCTAGTACCCCCTGTTTGCCGATCTCCGATAGGAGTTCAAGATGGCAGATCCGTGATGCAGTAGCTGATAGGGGACCTCTTCATGTATCTCTCCTCGCTCTCTGTTCTCTGTCAATTTCTTATTCCATTTGGTGCTTGGCTGAGTTCTTTATCTCTTAATTTGATGCTTATGGTTTCAGGATTGACGTGTGTCTCTTTGACTTAGTTTTTTAGATCTTTGCTGTGGAGGCACAGCCGGGTGCTTCTGTCTATAGCCCCATGTTGCCTGGAACTCCCTATAATTCTTTTAATATGCTTTTGGATTCTGTTTCCTAGAATTTTGTTGAGGACTTTTGCCTGTATATTCATTAAGGATATTAGTCTGCAGTCTTCTTGTGAGCTTAGGTGCTTCTTAAGTCTCCCCTGGGCATGCCCCTTGTTTTATTCTTGATCTTAGGGGGGAAAGCTTCAGTTTTTCACCATTAACTATGATGTTAACTGTAGGCTTTTTGTAGCTGACTTCTTTTCAGTTGAGGAAGTTCTCTTTTATTTCTAGTTTGTTCAGTGTTTTTATCATGAAAAGGTGTTGGATTTTGTCACATGCTTTTTCTGCATCCGTTGAGATGATCATGTGTCTTTTTCCTTTATTCTCTTAGTATGGTGTATTACATCGATCGATTTTTGCATGTTGAACCAACCTTGCATTACTGATATAAACGCCACTTGGTTATGATGTGTAATGCTTTTTCCACTATTTCCTGAGAACACAGATTTTTACTTTTACTTCCAAGTATTACACAAAGCACTCAAACGGTACTACAATAGGATCAAGAATTAGTGCCTCAGACATGCAATCATTATTGTCATTACCATCATTATTTACATTAACATGGGCATAAGAAGATGATAATCTGAATGAGAATGACAGGTCCAAATGAGAAACCTCTTTTTAAGGAGTAAAATAAAAATTAGAAAAAGTTGGCCATAGGGGATTATTACATTTCCTAACGTTGCTGAATCATCCTTACATTCCTGGAATAAACCATGCTTGGTTATAATCCTTTATTCTTTATTTTTTAAAAATGTTTTATTAAAAAAGAATACACCCACAGAATGAATATATATGCTCCATAATTCTCAGAAATAAAACACCCTGTGTAACCAATAGATAAACAGAACTTTTTCAGTATCTCATAAAGACCCTCTCTCAGTATCCTCATTTCTACACCATCAATTAGTTTTACCTACTTTTAAACTGTATGTAATAGGAATAGTAGACTCAGTTTACTCAACACCATATGAGATTCATCCATATTGTTGCATGTAGTTGTCAGTCACTCATTCTCCTTGGTGGATAATATTACATTTTGTGACTCTCCCACAATATATTTATTTATCCATTCTACTGTTATTGGGCATTTGCATAGCTCTAGTACTAAAAACAATAAGATCTGACAATTAAAGAGATCAACTATTTATTAAGAGAGAAAGAGAGAGAGACATTTGCAACAGGCAGTCAATTTTAGAGAAAATGCTGCGGCTAATGGGAAGAGTTTTTTTGCTTAAATGCCATTTACAATCTTGTGATAAAAGAATGTACAGTTGGTTCTTTGAAGGTTATTCAGTAGTGCAGAAGAACAAGTCACATGGGAGACACAAAATTTTAGAGATATAGATCTTGTGAAAAAGAAACTTTTAGATTAAACATCTACCATCTATTACTCTAAAGTGAGCAAGGTTCTTGGGGAAAGAAGAGGCATTCTTGAGAGATTAACGAAGTTGATTTGCAGGGGTATATTTAATAATAAGACACCCAGCAGTCTTGGAGCATTGTCCAGGCTTCCGGCGAGTTGTTTAATTTTAACACTAATTTACGGATATTATGAACAGTGCTGCCGTGAATATTCTTGTACCAGTCATTTGGTGAATATGTGTATGTATCCAGGTCAGAATTATTGTCCTAGAGATTTATTGCAAGGATTTTCCCTATTTATTAGAATGAAGACAATTATATTTTCAAATGAATAATTCAATTTTCCATAAGTCTTTACATGGTCATTATTTTCCTCATTCCAGGAACATGTAATTTCTTAAGTAAAATTATTAGCATCTGTTCTCCATCTGTAGCCTCATTGCTCAATATAGTAGCCACTAGCCATACAAAGCTATCGAGCACTTGAAAAGTGCTATAAGTCTAAAATATATACCAGACTTTGAAGGCAGTATGATACAAAGAATGTAAAATAATCTCATTAATAACTTTAAAATATTCATTATATCTTGAAATTATAGTATTTTGAATACACTGGGTTAAATACAATGTATTATTAAAATTAATTTCACTTTTTTTTTTTTTAATGTGGCTACTCGAGGGTTTAAATTATATATGTGCCTCACAGTTATATTTCTTTTGGACAGTGCTGGCCTATACTATGCAATTAAATAACTAAATAAAGATTGTTTTAGTCACTGAACAATCTGTATAGAAGCGGTCAGATGGGAACCTAATTTGCTGTGTAAACTTTTACCAAAAACACAATAAAATATTATTTTATAAAAAGATTGTTTTATTAGTTTATATATACATTACTGTAAGTTCTTTTGACAAAGATCATGCCATAGGCTACTTTGTACCCACCAGTACTGGCACATTGCTTCTGGTACATCCTTGATATTTAATAAATACTTCTTAACTGTTAATAAACTTTATTTTTTGCCTTTTAGGTTAAACTTTCACATTGCTTAGCTACCTGATGACAATCTTCCTAAGAGAACAAGAAAAGATGACAAAAGCCTTCATGGAAACTGAAGGAGTATGGACAGGGTATGAAAAATATTAAATGCAAAAATTTAAAATATTTCTTTTATCAGAAACAACTTTCTTGAATTGTAATTTCTTATTCGGTAATATGAAGTTTTTATTATGCTTAGTGCAAAATAGTGTATAAGCATAAAGTATTTTTATGGAGTAAATTCATTTTCATATTAACAATGGTTTTTACATGTTTAGGTAAAATAATTTTTTTTTTTCTCTTTGGCAGAGGACTGGGAAACACTAATTGCTTTGTCATAACAGAATTGGCACACAGACTGAGTATTCATTTCCTTGGATATAATCTGAGTAAAGAATTATGATCACTGTCACAAGCCAGGTCCTGCCTAAGGAATTGCTAAATATATTTTTCCTGAATTATAATTTTTCATTATGTAGACTTTGAAAGATATAAAATATAACTTCTCAGCTTTCTTTTGATGAGAAAAATAGACCTCAAAAGATACTGGAGTCACCTTCAGTTTCATCTGACATAGTAGTTACCTGGGGAACTTAGAAGAATCAGACCGTTGTTGGAGACTAATCTTTTGGTTGTAAGGAACAGAGACTCATTCAGAGTCACACCCAAGAGGTATGTGTTCACTGTAAAAGGGTAATGAGAATGCAGGGTTAGAAGTGGATGGATCCAGAGCAGCCTAGGAACCTGGCCACTCAATCCCCCTCAAGAGCAGGCCTTTGCTGCTCTTCCATCACCGGGTCTCTTGGGACTGTTTTACCACTTCTGCTCCTACTCAAAGTCTACCTCATCCTCATGGTTTCTGCTTACTCAGATATCTGGCTTACTGGAGGCCCATTGTGTTCTCTCTTGTCTCTCCCTCTCAGCTTCAGTCTATCAGATGGCTCCTTCTCTATAGTCTCCACTTTCAATTTCCAAGTGAGACTCTGATTGGTTCATCTAATTATCAGAGTCCCTGTTTGATGAGGACTGTTCGCACCAGGTCACTTCATAGGATGATGGCCAGTTTATGGAGTTGGTGCTCTTGGGTTACATGATCACTCTTAATCCAATCACTTATGGAGTTGGGAACCACTTTGTAGTTAATTTGCAACCCCTCCTCTAGGAATGGAGTCCCTGGGTGGCAGAAACAATTAAGCTGGAAGGTTGGCAGTTTGAATCCACCAAGAGTCACCTTGGAAGAAAGGCCTGGTGATCTGCTTCCTAAAGGCCACCACAGTCATGAAAACCCTATGGAGCACAGTTCTACTCTGATGGATATGGAGCCGCTATGAGTCAGAACTTACTAGATGGTTTGTTGTTGTTGGGTTTTTTTTGGGGTTGCCCCAGGAATCCTTTAGTTCACTTCTATCAGCAGGTCCCTGAGTTTCCTTTCCAAGAGGACTTGGGGTACGGCATGCACATCACTCACACACACACACAGATTAAAGCAACAGTGAATAAACTTAAACTAAAAGGATTATGAATAAACTGAGTAAGTGTAGGGGATAGCGAATTAAGAAGGCAAGAAACCTATACTCAAACAGGATCAAGTTTTGTTTCAGTAAATTTTCTTTGCAACAGAATAAATTGGTTTTCAAGAATGCGTTTTGTTTTGCAAATTAGACCATGCTGATGTCATTAGTCTGAATTTCCAGGAGGCCCCCCGCTCCTGACACACAGAACCAATGTCATGATCTTCCTGGGAGACCTCAGCATTTAGCACTTTGTGAGCGTTTCGGTTTTCATCTTTGGAGAGAGATCTTGGCAGCAATCCACGCCCAGGAGCAGATGCGAGGGGTACAGGATTTTTGGCTCTGAGTAGCGAGGAGGAAAGGTGGTGAAGCTCTGGGTCCAGTTTCCTAGAAGCCTCAGGCGCCCGGCCACCTGCCTGCGGCCTGGCCACTCCTCAGGTGTCTCCTCCCCTGAGTTTCCTACTCATAGGCTTGTCGCTGGCAGTGTGGGCGGCCCCTTTCCTGAGCGCTTAAACTCTTTTTTTTCCCACCCTCCTCCTCCTCTTCCTCCTCCTCCACACCAGCCTTTCGCTTTGCCTCAGTCACTTCCTTTGTCAGCCTCTTCCTCCCCAGTGCGTCGAAGAAGATAAGCCGGTCGGACCACGCGGCACCAGTTTTTCATTGGGAAAAAAAAAAAACCCGAGGCGGAGAGGTGAGTGAGTCCCCTGGGAAGATGTGACAGGTATGAAGGAAAGACGGGATTATCCGGTTGAGGCCACGAAGCCGGGGGAATGGTGGCGTGCGGGTGGACAGCTGGAACCTGGAGGTGGGCAAAGGGCCGTCAAGGTTATCACTAGAATTGGGCTGAGGCAGAGCAGGATCGGGACCCGATGGGCGCGCGCCGCCCGCGTCCCTACCTCTCCAGCAGACTTCCGTACCCCGCTCACGTGACATTTTTATCAGCCGGGGGCAGCAATTTTACGGTTTTTATCGCGGTGCAAAGTGTTTGCTTTGCGCTTGTCGGTGGTTCGAGGAGCCAGATCTGCAGCACCCGGTGGTGACGGCTGGGGGTGAGGGGACAGGCTGCCCGATGAATTTGGTGCCCCCAGGGCAGGAACTCTGCAGCGCCGGAGGTGGGTGCGGCTCTGTGCGCTCTTGGCAGGGGACCGGAGGGGACCCTAGGGGCTTGGGGCCGTTTTCGTCGCTTAGTTTGGGCTCTCGCTCTCGCTACGCGCAGGTGCGCTCCAGCCGCTGGGCAGCGCGGGCGGCCGGGCGCCGGCGCGCGAGTTGCCGAGACAAAGGCTTCCGGAACGCGGTTCTTCCCGGGGAGGCCGCCCACAGCCCGCTGGCGGCCCCGCAACAGCCCGAATCCTGCGCTCGCCAGCTCTGCATCGGTGCGGTGGTGACCGTGGGGTGGCCTGCCGGGGAAGGATCTTGGGACCCCTTCCGGGAGGCGTCCCAAACTTGGAGCAAGGATGACCAAATATGGAGTGTGTGAGCGCCCGCGAGGAGGCAGGAAGGAACCCAGTCATCGTTTGACCAACTGCTACTCAATAATTGCAAAGGACGGCTGAAGAAAGTGCGCAGCCCCGGTATGCGAAGTTGGCTCCTGGTTTCCACGGATCACCGCCCCAGGAAGCTTTATTTCTTTGGATATTAGAAATTCTCCATATATTGCCTCCAAACTTAGAGAAAAATAAAAAATAAGAAACAGCTATAAGAGGGTCCTTAAATATACTCTTAAATGTATATTGATGGTGGAACACTCAGCATATGCTCCAATCCTCCGACACTCCTCTTTCTTTGTGAGTCACGAGCACAATGCCTAATTAGAGGGCCCCCTAGCGTCTGTTCTCCCCTTCCATTGATTCTCTTCCCTTCACAGTATATTTCTTCTGGTCAAGCTGCCTTCTGTTGACACGCTCTTGCTTCCACACTTGCTCTTCTATGGCCTCTCATTGTTCTTGATCTTCTGACTCACTCCAGCATGAGGCTTCTATCCTTTCTCCTTACAAAATGCCATGTTCCTTCCAAGGAATATGTAACAGTTGGTATTCCGCCCCCCCTTTGCCCTTTTCCCTCTAAATAATAAGTAAATAAGCCAAATTATGTATGCTAGCAATGGTTTCCAAACCTGACTGTTAACTTTCCTACTTGTAGGGATCTGGGTGGGGAGTCTTTCTTTGCGTTTTGTCTTAAGTACTCAGCATGTAATACCTCATAGAAACACAGCTATTACATTTAGAGCAGTTTGCATAATGACCAGCAAAAAATAAAAGTAAAAAAAAGAGAAGAAAAGCCAGAATGATATGGTAGAACATCATTTAATTGTGGGGAGTTAACCCCTTTGCCTCAGTGTCATCATCTATAAAATGGGTATAAATAATAAATACTTTGCAAGGTTTTCAGAATTAAATGAATTAACACAGATAAGGAACCTGATGTGTAATTAATTAAAAGAAATGCTGGTTGCCTTCCCTTCTTAAAATTGGATAAACATATATCTGCCTAAAACAGTGCACATCTTCACACTTTACACAGTAGTGGGATTTCCTCTTTGATTCTTATATTAAATTTGAGCTAAATCTGAAGTGTGCTGCTGGTGGTGAATGGGAGGAGTGGAGAACATACTAAAAAGGTAAAATTTCAAGGTTGAAGGAAATCAGAGAATCTGAAAATTAGACCAGTTGTTGCTGAGTCAGTTCCAACTCATGGTGACCACATGTGTGTCAGCGTAGAACTGTGCTCCATAGGGTTTTCAACGGCTGATTTTTCAAAAGTAGATAGCCTTTCTTCCGAGGTGCCTCTGGGTGAACTAAAACCCCCAACCTTTCAGTTAGCATCCGAGCAAATGAACTGTTTGCACTACTCAAGGACTCCCTGAGAATTGGAGAGGACCCTAATCCTTTTGAGCATTTCATTCTACCTTCCATCCAGTGCAGGCTTATTTCCTTAGCAACCCTCACAGATGTACACTGCTTCTGCATATTAATACCTTCAGTAGCAGAGTGCAAACTTTATTCATTGTTAGACAGTTTTGATAGAGAAATTGTTTCTTATGGCTCCTAAATCTGCCGTCCCATTACATTTATCCATCCTACCCAATAGAGCAAAATGAAACAAGACTATTCACATAAGAACATCTAAAGAGCTTTAGTCCTTTGAAAATAGCAGCAGACCTTTTCTAGGCTATCTTTATGGGTCAAGATTCTTTAGAGTGCAAACGACAAAAAATCAAACCAACAAAAGCAAAAACAGGAGCAATATTGCTTCATGTTACTGGAAAGTCCAAGATCATCTACAGGCTCAAGCAGTGCTCTATGGCGGGGCTTCTTCTTTGTGTTAGCTTTATTCCCGGCAGGTTTTTACCTCATGGTGACCATTTACACCATGGGCTGAAAACTTATCTCTTAGAACCCTTTGGAAAGAAAGTCTCATTTTACTAATATTTGTAGAAAAATTCCAGGGCTGACCCTCATTGTTCTGGATGGGACCACCAACCTTATGCCCCAAAGAGATCACTGGTTATGGCCACTCCTAGAGCCCAGAGTGAGGCTCTACCCAAGCTACATAGACTTAGAGTAGGAAGGAAAGGCTCTATCCAAATTTGATTGCTGGTGCCAGAATATGGAATGGATTCTGAGCAGGCAAAAACAACATCTGTCCACCACACTGACATTAGCGAGTTTTTTTCTACCATTATTCTCATGGCATAGCATTCAGGCCTTCAGCACAGTGGCTGCATCCTCTGGGTATGTTTCAGCTTTTTAATTTCTCACTTAACCCATATCTTGAATTGAATATAATGTTATAGATATGTCTTGACCAACACAATGTTCTGAATATTTGGACACGATAGAAGGAGCCCTGGTGGTACGATGGTTAAGTGCTCGGCTGCTAACCGAAAGGTTGGTGGTTTGAACCCACCTGTCGCTCAGCGGGGGAAAGAAGTAGCAGTCTTCTTCTGTAAAGATTTATAGCCTTAGAATCCTATGGGCAGTTCTGCCCTGTCCTATAGGGTCACTATGAGTTGAGATTGACTTGACGGTAGTGGGTTTGTTTGTTTTTGTAATTTTTGATATTGGGTTTCACGTAGATGCATTTATGAGTTTGCATTTTATTGCAATGCAAGATTCTTTAATTATAATGTTCACATAATGTAGCAGATGGTAGCAGTAATCTGGGGTCTCAATATCACTTAAGCAGGTGGTATGTAGTCATATATGTCACTCTTGTTGTTAAAAGCTACTGAGAATTAGTTACAATCTGGATAAAGTTGTTTCTTCCAAATTATCACCCTAAAGTAAACCATACATGCAACCCCCCTATTTTAGTCCCTTATTTGGTTTGGAAAACTTATAATTTGAAAACAGATTGAATAGATGTGATTCTGCCCATTTGCTTGTACTTTCTGACCCTTATGTTGTCATTTCATTGTAAATTACTACCTTCTTATGGAAACTCTCTTCTTCCTTAAAACTTCTTGGACCCTACATGGCCAGGATTCTCGTCTTCCATTTCTACCTGTTATTTCACTACTTCCTTGCTGGTGTTTCTCTCCTTTCCCCTCCTGTGGGTGTTTGCCAATCCTCTTTACCTGCTTTTTTCTGTCTCTGAGTGCAATTCCTCTGAGAGCGCCTCTCTGTTCCCTACTTAAGTCAGTAACTCTGTAGTGACAGCTCCCGTATCTGCAGTTCCTTCCCCTCTAATGCATTTGCTCATTCTCTCAGTTCATGGAACCAATATTTATTGAACCTCCACTCCTGGTGCCAGATGTGATGCTGGGTTCCAGTGATACAGCTGTGAGCATTACAGTTGGTTCCCTGCAGAGAGGAGTTTACGGTAATTCCAGTCAAGTGAAGTGAGGACGGACCCACAGTGCTGTGGGAACACATGGCCGGGGAGCTCTCCTACACCAGTGACTCTGGGAAGGCTTGCTGGAGGAAGTTAGATCTAAGCTGGCACTGAATGTGTAGGGGTTATCCCCAAGAAAGAGAATTAGGAATATACTGGGCTGAGGAGACACTATGTGTGAATGCTGCAGGCGAGAGAGTGAGGGGCATCTGATGAATAAAAGGAAGCCCTGCGTGGCATTAGCTGCAACCTGAAGTCAAGGGGTGTAGAGTGGAGGAAGCTGGAACAGTGGGCAGAGCCCAGCCCCTGGAGGACTTAGTGAGCCCCAGTAAGTCTCACAGCTCCTATGGTGTTCCAGACTCCTGCTTACCTGAAGATGAACCAGTTGCCTCCACCACAAGCTCTCCATTGTAGTCAGGTTGCACTGGGAACTGCCCAGAGAAGGACAAGATACCCCTCCATGTGACCCAGAAGTCATCATTGCACTGACCTGATGGTATTAAAGTTACCTCTATGTTGATCTGCCTTCCCCCTAGACTGCAGGCTGTAGAGGATAGGGACTGTGTCAATTTATCTTTGTATCCCCTGCTTCTAGCTTAATGCCTGCCTCAAGTGTGCCACGTCTTCTCTTCCTTTGCCTTCATGCTTTTGCATATGTCTCCCCCTTGTACCACGAACAGAGTGCTTGTCACATTGCCATTTATTCCAGTCCTTTCTCAGGCCTCTGGACTGTGAGCAACCTGAGGGCAGATACTATGCTACTCACCTTTGTATTTTTGGTGCCTAGCAGAGCACCCTGAGAAGGACTTGCTTAGGGTTAATAATGGATACAACGAGAATTTACCACCCATCTGCCAGTTTGTTGTACTGTGGTGGCTTTTGTGTTGCTGTGATGCTGGAAGCTATGCCACTGGTGTTTCAAATACCAACAGGGTCATCCATGGTGGACAGGTTTCAGCAGAGCTTCCAGACTAAGACAGACTAGAAAGATCTACTTCTGAAATTAGCCAATGAAAACCCTATATACAGATCACAACAGAATATTGTTCGATACAGTGCTGAAGAAGAAGCTCCCTTGATTGGAAGACATTCAAAATACACATTGACTGCTACAGTGGAGTCCAGCATACAAATGATTGTGAAGATGGTGCAGGACTGGGCAATATTTTGTTCTGTTGTACATGGGGTCGGCATGAGTCAGAGCCGACACAATGGCAATTAGCAATAAAGAGAATGGTTACGTTCTCCCCAATGGACAGTGTAGAAGAATAATGGGGTCAGCAGAAGGGCAGTTTTAAAGATAGAGGGAAAATGGAGGTATTTTAGTGCTATGTATATCACAAACATAATTTTAGGAAAAGGGACATGGTAAATTAATAGTAAAAGATGCTACATGAGAAAAGAAAAGACCCTTGGATTTGGCATGATGTGCTTAACGGAATGAAGAAAGGGTAATAATACAAAAACATTTTTTTCTCTCTCAGGCAGCAATGAATGTGGATCATGAGGTTAACCTCTTAGTGGAGGAAATTCATCGCTTGGGTTCAAAAAGTAAGTACTTCAGCGCATAACTTTTGTTTCTTTGTCGTTTTACCTCAGAGCAGCAGAACTGGCGTTTTGGTGGAAGCCTGTGAATGGGTTACCCAGGGCTTCAGGACACAGGGCAGTTCTGCCCTCAGCCCCAGTGTTATTCCCTGAAGTGGCATCTAGAGACACAGAGCTACTGGGGTATTGATTTGGATGCAAAGAATGGTTGAGATATTCCATTCCAATGGACAAAAAATTACCAAACTTCTTTAATCTGGCTGTATTGAAATCTGGTAATTGAATCATGTTCAAATTTTTATTTGTCACACTATTAAGATTCATTTTCTATCCTTAAACCACCTGCCATATTATGGAAGTCTCTCTGTTGGCTCTGGAGGAAGGTCCTTGTCATCAATCTTCCCCTGGACTAGGAGCTTCTCTGCGCAGGAATCTCAGGTCCAAAGGATGCAATCTGCTCCCAGCACTGCTGTCGTGGTGATATGAGGTTGCCATGTCTCTCTGCTCTCTTCTGTCTTTTATATCTAAAAAGAAATTGGCTTAAGACACTGTGTAATCTTGTAGATCTCATCAATATAACTGCCACTAATCCATCTTATTACATCATAGTGATAGAATATACAACACATAAGGAAATCACATCAGATGACAAAAGGTAGACAGTCACAGTACTGGGAATCATGACCTAGCCAAGTTGACAGATATTTTTGGGGGACACAATTCAATCCATGACAGGTAGGCTTTTTTTTTTTAAGTCCTCTTTTTCTTTAGCAGCAAATAGGCAGATACCATGAAGATAGTGACAAGTAAAATTGGTAGTATTAGTATTCCAAAAAAAACCCAAACCCATTGCCATTAAGCCTATGCTGACGCATAGAAACCCTCTAGGAGAGGGCAGAACTGCCCTATAGGGTTTCCAAGGCTGTTATCTTTACAAGCATCATTACTTGGCACATCTTTCTCCCACAGATCAGCTGGTGGATTCGAACCACCAACCTTTCTGTTAGCAGCTGAGTGCTTTAGCCCCTGTGCCACCAGGGCTTCTTAGTATTAGTATTAACAGTATCCTGATTGATAGTATTAGTGTCAGTGACCTTTTCCTAAGCTGTAATGAAAGTCACTATTGTCACTTTAGGTATTTGGTACATCTCAGACAAGAGACATGAGAGTAAGTACTTCATGAAAATTGTTGTGTAGTTACAGCTTGATTCTTCTTACTTATAGCTCTGTCTGCTTATGAATTGCGAATCCTTTGAAATAATGAGCCATACTTTGAAAATTCCATTAAGCCATTACTGTATTTTTATGCAAATAATGCACGTGGTCTAGGTTTGTTTGCCAACTGTCCCGCTTCAGGTATTTTTGTAAGCATGCCATGAAAAAAATTGGCATAGCACACTTACAAAAATACCAGAGGGTGGGGTGCAGTTGGCAAAAAAAAAAAAACATAGAACGCACACTTTATTTGTGTAAAAATACGTATGGTAATGTTAAATGTTTCCTGTATTACTTTTCTATTGCTGCTGTAACAAATTACCACAAACTTAATGACGTGAAACAATACAAATTTTTTACGTCAACAGGTCTGTAGATCAGGAGTCTGACACAGGTATCACTGGTATAAGATCAGAGTGTTAACAGGGTACATTCCTTTCTGGAGGCTCTAGGGGAGAATCCCTTTCCTTGTCTTTTCCAGCTTCTAGAGGCTGCCCACATTCCTTGGCTCGTGGCCCCCTTTCTCCATCTTCAAAGTCAGCAAAGCAGATTGAGCCCTCACACTTCATCACTCTGATCTCCTGTTCTGCTCACCTCTTCCATTTTCTAGGACCCTTGTGATTACTTTGTGCCCACCCAGATAATTCAGGATAATCTCCCCATCTAAGGACCTTAATTTAATCACATCTGCAAAGTCCCTTTTGCCATATACGGTAACATATTCATGAGTTCAGGGATTAGGACATGGATATCTTTGGAGGCTATTATTCTTCCTTCCACATCCTCTTTTTGATCTTCTCTAGTCACTTTATTTGTCCCTTAAACCTGAGTCATCACTACTGAAACATACCAAGAAAAGATAAACTAGGCATCTAAAAGTTGGTGTGAACTCAACAACTGAGTTTAATCATATTGTCAGTTTATGAATATTTGTTGCACATTTAAATATGCCAAGCACTCTGTAAGTCCAAGTGGTATAAGGTATATTCCTTTTTGTCAAGGATCTTACTGTGTACTTGAGAAAAATAGATAAAAACTCATGAGGCAGTTATCAGAAAAAATGGTATGCTAAACTATGAAGTGCTGACGTTCAATCGACTATAAAACCAAACCCATTGCCGTCGAGTCAATTCTGACTCATAGCGACCCTATAGGGCAGAGTAGAACTGCTGCCCCATAGGGTTTCCAAGGCTGTAATCTTTATGGAAGCAGATTGCCACGTCTTTCTCCCAAAGTGGCTGGTGGGAACCGCTGACTTTTTAGGTAGCAGCCCAGTGCTTAACCACTGTACCACCAGGCCTCCTTCAATTCACTATAGTCCCAGAGAAAAGTATTATTGAAAGCTGCAATGTTGAGGGGCACTTACTCAAGCCTTGAATCTCAGATAAGACTTTGAAGTGTAGGGCAGGTCAGTGTTAGAGGAGATTCTTGAGCCAAATTTGGGATGGGAATGAATCTGATGTTTGTGGACAGCATTGAGGAGAAAATGGAGAATCTAATTTATTTAGTCCTCAAATCAAACAGATGGACAGTTCTTTCCTAACCCCATTTTTCTCCCATCCAATTCACCATGCCCAGTTGATGGAAATTTGGTGAGTCTAATTTTCAATTGTGATGTCCCTACTTATGATCCTCCACCCATACTTCCAATTTCTCCTGAGTTTTGTGAAGTCCTGGTACTCTTAGGAGTACTATTGTTTGGATTGTTAAACGATTTGCAGAATTTTTTTTGGATTCAGAAGATCTGCAGAATTTTCTTCTCCATTAGATCTTTACCTATATTAGCCTAGTGTGTATTGGTCAGACTCAATTGCTTTTAAAATCCTACCCTCTACACCCTGTGCAGTCACCACCCATCTGTCTGTGGAGGCTTGTGTGTTGCTGTGACGCTGAACACATTTCAGCAGAGCTTCCTGGCTAAGGTGGACCAGGAAGAAAGGCCTGGCCATCTACTTCTGACAATCCACCAATGAAAACTTTATGGATCATAGTGGTCCGATCTACAACTGACCATGGGGATGGCGCAGGACCAGGCAGTGTTTAGTTCCTTTGTGCATGGAGTCACCATGAGTGGGGGGCTAACTTGATGACAGCTGACAAGAATACTGCTAGAACAATGTCATTATTCTAATAGGAAAAACTGAACCTGTACTTTAAAATTAGCAGCTTTACAAACCAAAAGACTATACAGTAATTATAACTTTTACAAGCATGAAAATATTTTCAGCTCTGCAGCTTTAACAGGCCACCTTGTCTCACCTGTCCCTGTTAATGGATGACTTATTGAGCTGGAAAGCATATATGGAGCTATATTATCTTCTGACATGTTATAGTGATTATTGAAGTTGTGTCTGGAATGATTTTGACTAATCTACATATGATTTATGAACTCAAGTTAGAAATTGATTAGTTTTATCTTTTATGTTTGTTAAATTAGATTCCTTAAAGTCTATCATTTTTCATCCAGTGAAAAAGACTAAGTATAGAAAGATTATTTGGAGACTTAAATTCCTTCACTTAGCAAATATTTCTTGAATGCCCCCTTTGTGCTCAGTGCTGGAGATGTGGAAATAAAATTCTGTCTCAGTCCTTGAGCACCTCCTTGGGTAGCTGGAAAATGCAAACAAATTGGAAACATATATTGGGAAGTGGTTAAGAACATGTGCTCTGGAGCCATATTCTGTGGGAATGAATCCTCAGCTTCTCTACATTCCTGCTGTGTGACCTTAGGCACATTCCTAAACTTTTCTATGCTTTGGTTTCCTTATTTGTAGTAATAATAATAGTCTGTTTTGAATGATTCAGAGATACTTGTTTCACACTTTAAATTCTCGGAAATAAGGTTGCCTCTTACAATACATGGTGTGCTATAAATAGGCAGCTTAATTGGAGTATAAAGTAATGGTGCTTCTTGCAATCAATTGCGTCTCATCTGTGATAAGGATTGAGTTTAATAAGTGTAAAATGCATTGAACAGTTCTGAGAAAGTAGCACACACTCAATACATGTTAGCTATTAATTATTATAATTGATGAGTGCTTTCACAGACTGTATAGTCAGTTTTATAAGAAGAGCTATTATCTCAATCAGGGGGATCATGGAGGGCTTCTCAGAGAAGGTGACATTTGAGTCCATTCATGGAGAAAAACAATTTAGCTAGGGAAAGGGGCTTGGGATGTTGGGCAGATGGCTCAACATGAGCAAAACTACCAAGGCAGCATCTCTCATGTCACTTTGGGCAGCAGCAAGCAGTTCCTTATGACTGGATCAAAAGGTGCATGGAGCAGTATGGTAGGACACCAGGCGAGGTGCAAGGCATGGGTGCAAAGGCCAGAGCAAGAAGAGCTTTATCTGTGAGGCCAAGGACTTCGTTTTACTTTGAAGGTGATAGAGAGCCATGGAAAGATTAAAGTAGAAGAGTATCAATCAGGTTTGTGTCTTACAAAGTTCATTCTACACCAATGTAGTGAGTATATTGGGGGGTGTCTTAGAATGAGAAAAACCAGTAAAGAAGCAAAACCAGTAAAGTAAAACCAGTAAAACATATACATGTATATATAGAGAGATTTATATCAAGGAAATGGCTCATGCAGTTGTAGAGGCTGGAACATCCCAAGTCCATGGGTCAGGCCGGAGGCTTCTGATTCACGTAGCTGCAGAAGCTGGTGAACCCAAGATCGGCAGGTCAGACAGCAGAGCTCTTGCTCACAGCCTGTGAAGACCGATGGATCCAGATATCATCAGGCAAGACGGTAAGTAAGCTGCTAGCTCAAGTCCCAAGAACTGGAGGTCAGGCAAACAGGATCCAGCTGCAGGATCCAGAGCAAGCAAAAACCCATGAGCCTTGCCAGAAAGTCCACCTATATTGAGTACAGGCCACGCCCGCAAGGAAACTCCCTTGCTGCATTAAACTTATGACTGCTAATTGTAAACTGTATTCTTGGTTAGCCCATAGTAGATGTTTATTAAAGATTTTGTGAATCTGCCATACATGGGGGCGAGAAACAGACTTTGCATTTGCTAATATTGTATTTTCTTAAATTAGATGCTGATGGAAAGTTAAGTGTGAAATTTGGCGTCCTCTTCCGAGATGACAAATGTGCTAACCTCTTTGAAGCATTAGTGGGAACTCTCAAAGCTGCAAAACGAAGGAAGATCGTTTCATACCCAGGAGAGTTACTTTTGCAAGGTGTTCATGATGATGTTGATATTGTATTGCTACAAGATTAATGTGGTTTGCATGTCTTTGTGTATTGCTATTTTCTGCTTCTGGTAAACTGGATTATTAAGTCAAAGAACAAACATGTAAGCATACTTAATGTATTTTTATTAGAACTTTATAAACAAAAGGAGACTCATATTTTTGAAGTCTGCTCTTTTTTTATATCTGGAAAGACAATTTGTGTATTACACTGTAAAATAAACAAAACCTGTTATTTTTCTCAGGAATCTGGTTAGAAAATGTAGGCAATGAGGCATTTTTTGCTGGGGGGAGGGATGGGGATGTTTGTTTCATAAATCATTCTTTGACAACTTTATAGATATTTGCATTCTGTGAAAGCAAAAAACAAACTGAAAACCAACTCCACAAGGAATAGTACAATATATATGTAATAAAGCCATGTAACTGTCTTAAAATTGCCTTATTTTGTCATTTAAGCATTTGTGTGCCTCTTAGAATAGGTTTTTGCATCAAGATTAGATAACTGCAGTAAAAGTTATCTCAATTTGAATAAAATTCTTGTAGACTACAGAATTAACAGAGCTGGATAGTATTATGGTTAGATCCTATGAAACATTTATTTTGATGCCTATTTTGTGCTTATTACTGAGTTAGGGGACATATAAAAAAATGTAACCTAAAAACTTCATTTTCTTTTTTTTAATTTTATTGCCGTAATATATATATATAACAAAAAATTTGCTGTTTTAACCATTTTTAAGTGTACAATTCAGTGACATTAATTATATTCACCATGTTGGGCAACTATCACCATTATCTATTGCTAAGAGTTTTTTTATCGCTGCGAACAGAAACTCAGTACCTCTTAAGGAATAAATCACCTTTCCTCACACCCCTAGTTCCCGATAACCACTTTTATCTCTCCGTTTGCCTGTACTAGCTATTTCATGTAAGTGGGGTCGTACAGTATTTGCCCTTTTCTGTCTGACTTATTTCACTTAGCATATTTTCAAGGTTCATCCACGTGGTAGCGTGTATCAGAGTTTTCATTTCTCTTTATAACTGAATAATATATACTACATTTTGTTTGTTCATTCATCTGTTGATGGGCACTTGAATTGTTTCCACCTTTTGGCTATTGTGAATAATGTTGCAATGAACTTTGGTGTACAGGTATGTATTTGAGTCCCTGCTTTCAATTCTTTTGGGTATATATCTAGGAGTGAAATTGCTGGGTCATCTGGTAGCCACCCCAGCTCTCTTGGTTACTGTTTGCATGGAATATTTTTTCCTCCTTTCACTTTCAAACTATGTGTGTCTTTGTATCTAAAACAGGTTTCTTGTAGACAACATATAGTTGGATCATGTTTTCTTGTTCGTTCTGCCTTTTGATTGGAGAGTTTAATTCATTTACATTTAAAGTAATTACTGATAAGGAAGAACTGCCATTTTGCTATTTGTTTTCTGTGCGTCATAACTTTTGTCCCTCATTTCCTCCAATACTGCCTACTTTTTTTGTTTAGTTGATTTTTTTGTAGTACACCATTTTGATTCTCTTCTTGTTTCCTTTTGCATATATATTTTAGATATATTCTTTGTGACTACCATGGGGATTATATTTAACATCCTAAATTAATAACAACCTAGTTTAAATTGAGCTGCTAATCAAAAGGTTGGCAGTTTGAATCCACCAGCTGCTCCTTGGAAACCCAATGGGGCAGTTCTGCTCTGTCCTATAGGGTCACTATGAGTCAGAATCAACTCGATGGCGACAGGTACAGGTAGTTTAAATTGATACCAGCTTAACTCCAATAACATACAAAAAGTCTGCTCCTATGCCATTCCTTCCCCCCTTTATGTTGTCGTCGTCACAAATTACGTCTTTAAACACTGCATGCATGATAACATAAATTTATAATTACTTTTAATGTGTTTGGAAACCCTAGTGGCATAGTGGTTAAGAGCTATGGCTTCTAGCCAAAAGGTTGGCAGTTCAAATCCACCAGGCGCCCCTTGGAAACCCTCTGGGGCAGTTCTACCCTGTCTATAGGGTCACTATGAGTTGGAATCGACTTGACAGCAATGGGTTGGTTAGTTGGTTTTAACGTGTTTAGCTTTTAAATTATGTAGATCATAACAAGTAGAGTTACAACACAAAAATACCATAAAACTGGATTTTGAATTTACTCATGGAATTACTTTTACTGGAGGTCTTTTTTTCTTCATATGGCTTTGAGTTATTGTCTAGTGTCCTTTCATTTCAACCTGAAGGGACTACCTTTAGCATTTCTTGTAGGGTAGAAGCTTTTGTTTATCTGTAATGTCTTAATTTCACTCTCAGTTTTGAAGAACAGTTTTTTTGCCAGATACAAAATTCTTGATTGACAGTTCTTTTTTTTCAGCACTTTAAATATGCCATCCCTCTGCATTCTGGTTTCCATGGTTTCTGAGGAGAAATTGGCACTTAATCTTATTGAGGATCCTTTTAATGTGATGATTTGCTTCTCTTGCTGCTTTTAAGGTTCTCTCTTTATCTTTGGGTTTCTGTAATTTGATTATAATGTGTCTTATTGTAAAGGATCTTTTTGAGTTTATCCTTCTTGGAGTTTGTTGAGCTTCTTGGATGTGTAGATTCATGTCTTTCATCAAATTTGGGAAATTTTCAACCATTATTTCATCAAATATTTTTTCTGCCCCTTTCTCTCTTCTCTGGGATTCTCATAATGTGTATGTTTTTCTGCTTGATGGTGTCCTACAAGTTCCCTAGCCTCTGTTCACTTTTCTGCATTCTTTTTGCTCCTTAGACTTGATAATTTCAACTGTCCGGTCTTCAAGTTTGCCGAGTCTTTCTTCTTCCAGCTCAAATCTGCTGTTGAATTTCCTCCAGTTATTTTTCATTTCAGTTATTGTACTTTTCAGTTCCAGGGTTTCTAATTTGTTCCTTTTTATGATTTCTGTCTCTTTACTGATATTCTTATGTGTTTTTGTATCATTTTCTTGATTTCCTTTCATTCCTTATGTTTTGTTTTAGCTCTCTGAGCATTTATAATACTATTGTTTTAAAGTCTTTGTCTAGTAAGTCCATTATCTGGGCTTCCATACGGATGATTTCTGTCACTTTATTTTGTTTTTTTGAATGAGCCATTCTTTCCTATTTCTTTGTATGCTTTGCAATTTTTTTGTTGAAACTGAACATTAGAATATTATAATGTGGTGACTGTAAATGAGATCTTCCCCTTTCCTAGAATTTGCTGTTTTGTTTAATTGTTGAAGGCTATTGTCATTTGTTTGTTTAGTGACTTCCCCTAACTATTTTTGCAAAGACTTCTTTCCTGGATGTGTGGACATTTAAGTCTATTTCTTAGTTTGTGTTCAGCTAGTGTTTTGACAGAGATTTCCTTGAACACTAAGTGAAAAAAAAAAAAAAAACAAAACTACCCTCTCCCAGTCTTTGCAAATTGATTTTGTGCCGGCACCCTCCTTCAACACTCATTTGCACTGAGCCTAGAGATCAGCCTGAGGTGAAAGCATAGGGTCTTCCCAGGTAATTTCTGAGTATATGTCTTGCCCTGGACATGCATGTGGTTTTCTCAGTTCCCCTGTATACACAGTGCTTTTGAAAGCCGTAATTTCTGAAATAAACTCTCTCCCCGACCTCTTCCAGTTGTTAAGGACTTATTGTATGCCTGAAACATGCCCTTCAGCCCCAAGTGGCTACAAGCAGTTACAGCCTTCAGGCATTGCCTGCTGCTCCTTAGCCCTGTATGAGCTCTGAGACAGGCAAAACTGAAATGAGTGCCATGCTTCAGTTCTTCAGGCAGCCCCTAGACAGATTAGAACAGACACACCCAATAGTTCTCAAGTAAAGTCTGCTCTGCACCTTCTGGAGCCAAAGACTAGGCTGCTTCTCTGGGAGTGCAGGTCGCTGCCACTTTAAGATGGCCATGCTGGGCCAAGGAGGGAGTAGTGTGAATAAAACTAAACCTGTTTTACCACTTACATGTCACCTTTCTCTTGATTCCTTGATTCATCATTTGTGTAGTTGCTGCAACTCTTTGACTGGTTTCCAGAGTTTTAACAAAGTTGGTTCTGCCAGTTTCTGCTTGTTTTTTATTAATTTATTTTTTGGATGTTTGTGAGGGGATGAGTATGCATCTGCTCATGCTGCCACCTTCCTCTGAACTCAACCTATAGTTGAATTAGACCCACCTGAAGAAATACAAGATTGTCTATTATTACATGTTGCAAAATTTAGTACAGAATTGAAAACGCATAGTGTAAAATCAGTGAAAGCCACAATGGCCAGAGAAAGCATCACAGAGGGGACATAATTTGCATGGGCATTGAGGAATGGTTGGAACTGATTATCTAGAGGGATAAAGATGGGATGAGTGAGGGTAATGACTGAAGTTACAGCAGAGTGATATGAATTAGCAAGGTGTGATCTTGTGAAAGATAGGCTATGAAGTTGACCAGAATGTTAGGGAGAGACAGGGTTCAGGTTGGATAATTAAAGTGGAAACTGGAAAGCCAGGAAGAGGAGTCTGAACAGAAATCAGAGTGGGGAAGTTCTGCAATGAAAGTGATACTTTAGTGATGATTGCTCCGTGACTGGTAATTAGGGTGGATGGTAGAGAGTGGGGATGCAGTCAAACAAGCCAGCGAAAATATTTCATGTGAGTTTCATGTGGATAGTAATAATGGAAAGGCAGAGGAAGAGATAAACATCAACTACATTTTTAAGGAAATTGAAACTATATTATCAAGACTTTTTTCACAAGTGTCAGGCCCCCAGTTCAAACTAACTTAAGCAACAGAAGAATTCACTGGCAGTTTATAGTCATTGCTAACATTTATTGAGCATTTATTATGTTAATCCTCATACAACCCTATGAGGTAGGTACTAATACTACTTCTTATTTTACAGATGAGGCACAGAAAAGTAAAGTACCTTGTCCAAGTTCACCTGCTTAGAAAGAGGTAGAGCCAGGACTTGAAATTTGACTCATCTAATGAGCAAGTCCAGAGATGGGATGAACTGAGGCATGTATGTTGCATGAACTGAACTGAAGCATGGATGGCTTCAGGGACTCAAGCAATATCATCGAAGCTCTCTGTCTTTATTGCCTCTCATACCTTCTTTGTGCTGACCTTATTCTCTTCTAAGTATGCTTCCTCCATATAGCTGGGAAGGTGTCTGCTGGCAGCTACAAATTCATGTATTCTTAGATTAGCAACTCTAGGGGAGAGAGAATTTAATATAATATCTAACAAGTAATCCTAAGAAGGAATTCTGATTGGCTTTAGGGAGCCTTTCATTTGGGCCTGGTGATTTTGAGGCTGTTAGAGTGGAAATGTTTAGTAAGTAGGTGAAGATTTGGTTCTGTACCCAGTTAAAGGTCTAGGAGTATAAATAAAGATTTGGGAATTATGATTCAAGGTTGATTTTCATCTCAT